GTGGTGATCCTAACTGACCTAAGACAGGGACTTTTTACTAGGATTAAATGTCAGGAATTGTGAAAAACTGACTTTAAAATGTATTTGGCTAAGGTGTATGTAAACTTCCGACTTCAACTGTTTGTGGCAGGGTCTACAGACAATCATGGACTACAATAGGAAAACCAGTCACGTCGCAGACACCGACGTCTTGATGCCAGACAAGCTAAACAAGTTATTTGCCCGCTTTGAGGATGACACAGTGCCACCGACGCAGCCAGCTACCAAGGACTGTGGGCTCTCCTTCTCCATGGCCGACGTGAGTAAGATGTTTAAACGTGTTAACCCTCGCAAGGCTGCCGGCCGAGATGGCATTCCGAGCCGCATCCTCAGAGCATGCGCAGACCAGCTGGCTGGTGTGTTTACGGACAAATTCAATCTCTCCCTATTCCAGTCTGCTGTCCCCACATGCTTCAAGATGGTCACCATTGTTCCTGTACCCAAGAATGCAAAGGTAACTGAACTAAATGACTATCGCCCCGTAGCACTCACTTCTGTCATCATTAAGTGCTTTCAGAGACTAGTCAAGGATCATATCACCTCCACCTTACCTGTCACCCTAGACCCACTTCAATTTGCATACCGCCCCAATAGGTCCACAGACGATGCAATCGCCATCACACTGCCCTATCCCATCTGGACAAGAGGAATACCTATGTAAGAATGCTGTTCATTGACTATAGCTCAGCATTCAACACCATAGTGCACTCCAAGCTCATCATCAAGCTTGAGGCCCTGGGTCTCAACCCTACCCTGTGCAATTGGGTCCTGGAATTCCTGACGGGCCGCCCCAAGGTGGTGAAGGTAGGAAACAACATCTCCACTACGCTTATCCTCAACACTGGGGCCCCACAAGGGTGTGTGCTCAGCCCCCTCCTGTACTCCCTGTTCACCCATGACTGCGTAGCCATGCACGCCTCCAACTCAATCATTAAGTTTGCAGACGACACAACAGTAGTAGGCTTGATTACCAACAAAGATGAGACAGCCTACAGGGAGGAGGTGAGGGCTCTCGGAGTGTGGTGTCAGGAAAACAACCTCTCACTCAACGTAAAAAAAACTAAGGAGATGATCGTGGACTTCAGGAAACAGCAGAGGGAGTACCCCCTATCCACATCAGCGGGACAGCAGTGGAGAAGGTGGAAAGTTTCCTCGGCGTACATATCACTGACAAACTGAAATGGTCCACCAACACAGACAGTGTGGTGAAGAAGGCGCAACAGCGTCTCTTCAACCTCCAGGAGGCTGAAGAAATTTGGCCTGTCACCTAAAACCCTCACAAACTTTTACAGATGCACAATTAAGAGCATCCTGTCGGGCTGTATCACCGCCTGGTACGGCAACTGCACAACCGCAGGGCTCTCCAGAGGGTGGTGCAGTCTGCACAACGCACCACCGGGGGCAAACTACCTTCCCTCCAGGTCACCTACAGCACCCGATGTCACAGGAAGGCCAAAAAGATAATCAAGGACAACTACCACCCGAGCCACTGCCTGTTCACCCCGCTATCATCCAGAAGGCGAGGACAGTACAGGTGCATCAAAGCTGGGACCGAGAGACTGGAAAACAGCTTCTATCTCAAGGCCATCAGACTGTTAAACAGCCAGCACTAGCACAGAGATGCTGCTGCCTACATACAGACTTGAAAATCATAACTGGCCACTTTAATAAATGGAACACTAGTCACTTTAATAATGCCACTTTAATGTTTACATATCTTACATTACCCATCTCATATGTATATACTGTATTCTAAACTATCTATTGCATCTTAGACTATGCCACTCTGATAATGATAATGACATTGCTCATCCATATATTTATGTAAATGTAATATATTTATATATTCTTATTCCATTCCTTTACTTAGATTTGTGTGTATTAGGTTTTTGTTGTAGAACTGTTAGACATTACTTGCTAGATATTGCTGCACTGTCGGAACTAGAAGCACAAGCATTTCTCTACACTCGCAATAACATCTGCTAACCATGTGTATGTGACCAATACATTTGATTTGAAATTTGATTTGATTTTTTGATTTGTGCCAGCACCAGCAGCGCAAGCCTCTCTATGCTTATGCGCAAGTGAAGTGAGTTAGGGAAAAACTAAAAGTAGGCCTATGCATCTTAGAAGTAATTTTCACATACAAATGTTATATGTCCACACAAAATCAAATGCAGTGCATTCGGAAAGTATTCAGACCCCTTGACTTTTTCGACATTTTGTTACATTACAGCCTTATTCTAAAATTGATTACATCGCTTTTTTCTCCCACATCAATCTACACTCAACACCCCATAATATAAAAATAAAAACAACGGAAATATCCTGTTTACATAAGTACTTTGTTGAAGCACCTTTGGCAGCGATTACAGCCTCGCGTATTCTTGGGTATGATGCTATAAGCTTGGCACACGTGTATTTGGGGAGTTTCTCCTATTCTTCTCTGCAGATCCTCTCAAGCTCTGTCAGGTTGGATGGGGAGCGTCGCTGAACAGCTATTTTCAGGACTCTCCAGAGATGTTCGATCGGGTTCAAGTCCGTGCTCTGGCTGGGCCACTCAAGGACATTCAGAGACTTGCCCCGAAGCCACTCCTGCGTTGTCTTGGCTGTGTGCTTAGGGTCGTTGTCCTGTTGGAAGGTAAACCTTTGCCCCAGTCTGAGGTCCTGGGCGTTCTGGGGCAGGTTTTCATCAAGGATCTCTCAGTACTTTCCTCCGTTCATCTTTCCCTCGATCCTGACTAGTCTCCCAGTCCCTGCCGTTGAAAAACATCCCCACAGCATGATGCTGCCAGCACCATGCTTCCCCGTAGGGGTGGTGCCAGGTTTCCTCCAGACGTGACACTACAGGCCAAAGAGTTCAATCTTGGTTTCATCAGACCAGAGAAGCTTGTTTCTCAAGGTCTGAGAGTCCTTTAGGTGCCTTTTGGCAAACTACAAGCGGGCTGTCATGTGCCTTTTACTGAGGAGTGGCTTCCGTCTGGCCACTCTACCATAAAGGCATGATTGGTGGAGTGCTGCAGAGATGTTTGTCCATCTGGAAGGTTCTCCCATCTCCACAGAGGAAGTCTGGACTTCTGTCAGAGCGACCATCGGGTTCTTGGTCACCTCCATGACTAAGGCCCTTCTCCCCCGATTGCTCAGTTTGGCCGGGCGGCCAGCTCTAAGAAGAGTCTTGGTGGTTCCAAAGTACTTCCATTTAAGAATGATGGAGGCCACTGTGTTCTTGTGGACCTTCAATGCTGCAGACATTTTTTGGTATCCTTCCCCAGATCTGTGCCTCGTCACAATCCTGTTTCGGAGCGCTACGGACAATTCCTTCGACCTCATGGCTTGGTTTTTGCTCTGACATGCACTGTCAACTGTGGAACCTTACATTGACAGGTGTGTGCCTTTCCAAATCATGTCCAATCAATTGAATTTACCACAGGTGGACTCCAATAAAATTGTAGAAACATCTCAAGGATGATCCATGGAAACAGGATGCACCTGAGCTCAATTTCAAGTCTCATAGCAAAGGGTCTGAAAACGTATGTAAATAAGGTATCTTTTTTAAAATATATATACAGATTCCCCCTTTAAGCAAGCCCATTAAAACTCTCATAGAGATCATAATATCCTAAAAATAGCTTACTTTATAACCATCATATACACCTGAGTGAGTCTGAGTGGCAGTGTAGGCATAACCCACTGATCACTGTGTAGAAATCTGAATTTAGTGTGACGTGGGGCCTGTATACATTATCCTTCTTGAAACCCAGTTTCCGGCTCAATGCATTGATTGCAATGCAAAATAATAAAGTTGTCAGCATCAAATTTGAAGATTGAATTGCGTGTAGTAAAGTGATCGCAGCTAATTGATATTACATAGCATTATATTGCACTATATTGATGCAGTCAATTTTGAAGTAATTTCGATAGTGAAATAGCATCTTGTAGAGGCCTTTTTGGACCCATTTCAAAATGGACCTGGGGCTTTCCCATCCGGACCCGATATGCATAAATATTTTTTTTATATATAGAGACCCGTTCCGAATGGACCTGAGGACAATTAGACCCATTCCATATAGACCTGGTCGGATCCAGACCCGGTCTGATCCGAGTGAGGGAAGCAACAGAAAAGTTTTAAGCTACTTTATTAACCAGAGCTGATAAAGTGCGAGGGAAAGGAGGTAGAGAGAGATGGCGCTCTAACAGGGGTCCTGCTGTGTGTGTAGGCTACTGTGAGTGTGAGGCTTTTGGTCGTTGTAGCCTATCCTTCTCCTTTAACTTTTAATTCCATAATTTTAATTCCATCTTCCATTGATGAATATCTCCTCACTTTTGCTACACACAGAGGCTCTATCACTGTAGCCTATTGACGCGTTGATGACTTATGATTGGCTAACAACGTGGTCCTCTGTAGCTCAGCTGGTAGAGCACGGCGCTTGTAACGCCAAGGTAGTGGGTTCGATCCCCGGGACCACCCATACACAAAAAAAAAAAAAAAAATGTATGCACGCACGACTGTAAGTCGCTTTGGATAAAAGCGTCTGCTAAATGGCATATTATTATTATTATTATATAACAAGCTACACTCTTGTGAAAAGCAAGAGCAGCAGCATAAATTATAAAACGTCTCCATCTCTCGCGCTCTCTCTGCTGCAGCAGTCACGTTCGGATCTGTACGGGTCCAAGTCAGTTAAAGTTACACATACCCGAGACCCGTGACAATCCTATCAGATCTGACCCAGAACCATGACATTATTTAAAATTCTGGATCCGGACCCGCTCGGGTCCCGGATCGGGTCTTGAGGATTCGGGTACAGGTGGATCCGTGAAGACCTCTAGCATCTTGTAGATCCTATAGTGACACAACCAAGGGGTCTACGTTGCCAGAGCATAGAAGGACTGTACATGTGAAAATATTTTACAGTAAACACAGCCACAGAGGAATTAAAATGATATAGCCATTTTACCTCAGTAACATTTGTCATGGGGTTAAATCCACAGAGGTTGCAGACAGTGTTCTTGCATTCGGTGCAGGTGTTGTAGTTGGGAAGGTCCTTGGAGTCCATGTTGAGGTCCACCTTGCAAAGCGGACAGGTGGACTGGCCTGCTTTGGGAGCTGGTTGGGAAGATGCTGCTCCCTTTGGAGGCTCTGATAGGGGTTTGTCCACTTTGGCCTGTACTGATGGGGGGACTGCAGCCTGCTGGGGTTGCTCTGCTTTTTTCTCCTCTGCTTTCTGAGCAGCAGGTGGTTTGGTCTCCTTTACAGGGGGCATGTTGGGAGAGGCCTGGGCTGCTGCAGACACCTTGGGGGAAGCTGGTGGTGTGACATGGGGCTCATCCTGAACAGCTGAGGTGATCAAAGTGGATGCAGAGCTGAAGATGGAGGAGCCAAAGCCAAACATCTTCCCAGACACTGAATCTTCAGGCTTTGAGGTAGACTGAGATTTAGGACCACCAAAGCCACCAAAGAAGCCCCCTGACTCCTGCTTGGGGGGCTGGGACTGTAGTGGTGGCACAGCTTTGGCAGGAGATGTCCCACCTTTTGGAGGTTGTTGCTGAGGCTTCCCAGCCACCTGCTGTGTGGACGGGGTGGCATTACTCTGCTCATGACCAGGTTGGCCTGGCTGCTCTGGTGGTTTCTGAGGCCCTGATGTTCTCCGGTTCTCCTGTGGTGCCTTCTGAGCAGGCGCTGGGCTGGCCGGTTTGTGAGGGTCTGCTGCTCTAGCAGCCTCTGCCTTGAGTGGCTGTGTTGCTGATGTAGCAGGTTTTCTCTGGGGGGAGCCTGGTGTAGAGGTGTCTTTCTTCTGTGGTGCAGGAGATATAGAGGCTTTGTTGGGTGAAGGCTGGAGTTTCATCTTGGGGGTTCCAGGTGGGTCAGAGCCTCCGAGTGCTCTTTGCATCTGACAGGTCAGACACAGCCACTCCTTACCCTGCAATAGAAATCACAGTTTTAGCATCATATTAAAAAAAAATGTTTTCTCACAGATTAACAAAAAAAAACTGTCAATGCAATCAATATGATCTATGTTTTTCTCATGATCTATGTTTTTTTTCTTCTTAATCCTTAATCCATACTAGATGCATACTACATACTAAATAATTAAGGTTATGACTTACCGTTGAAAGAAATATGTGAATATTAGACTAACATTGTGTCTTTATGGTAGAATATTAGACTAACAGTGGTCCTCTGTAGCTCAGCTGGTAGAGCACGGCGCTTGTAACGCCAAGGTAGTGGGTTCGATCCCCAGGACCACCCATACACAAAAAATGTATGCACGCATGACTGTAAGTCGCTTTGGATAAAAGCGTCTGCTAAATGGCATATTATTTATTATTATTATTTATCTACTGCTACTGCCTTTACAGTACAACACTACCCTAATATACAGTCAGCAATGCCTCATGCTGAATGACCTGCCACTAAATCAAATTACTCTGTTTAAGCAGCCTGCTAAGTGGTAACTAGAGTCAATACTCTGACTTATCAAACCACACTGGCCAGGCTCAAGCACGCTCAATTCTCCACTGTACAAAAAAATACAAAACGAATTTGACACAGAATGTGATTCATACAAATGCTACAATGAGATCTTAGGTCAAAAAGACAATAACATTTCCTACTGTTTAATACTGATAAATTAATAACAAATTATTAAATACTGTATATTCTGGAATTAAGCTCTACTTACGCCAGAGTCAGGAGGACTGAAGCCACACAAGCTGCAGACGACAGTCTTACACTGTGTGCAGGTGTTATGGTTGGGTGGCTCCTTGGAGTGTAGGTTGAGTCCAGTAGTGTTACACACTGGGCACAGGGGTTTAGCTCCAGCCATAGGTCCAGCTTTAGACTGAGGCAAAGCTTTACCAGCGGCCTGCTGCTGTGGTGTAGTCCTGGGGGACCCCTTCTGCTGAGTGCCAATCTTAGGGGACCCTTGTGGCTGAGCTACAACCTTAGGCAACCCTTGTGGCTGAGCTCCAACCTTAGGGGACCCTTGATGTTGGGGTCCACCCTTAGCAGGTCCTTGCTGTTGTGGTCCCTTAGGAGTTTGTGGCAGAGCTCCAACTTTAGGTGAACCTTGCTGTTGGGGTCCATCTTTAGCAGATCCTTGCTGTTGTGGTCCACCCTTGGGGGACCCTTGTGGCTGAGCGCCAACCTTAGGTGACCCTTGTTGTTGCGGTCCACCTTTAGCAGGTGCTTGCGGTTGTGATCCACCCCTAGCATGGACTTGTAGTTGGGGGGCTTGCTGTTGTGGTCCACCCTTAGCAGGGGCTTGCTGTTGGGGGGCTTGCTGTTGTGGTCCACCTTTTGCAGGTCCTTGCTGTTGAGGGGCTTGCTGTTGTGGTCCACCCTTAGGAGGTCCTTGCTGTTGTGGTCCAACCTTAGCGGGGGCTTGCTGCCCGCTAGGTTTGGCTGCTTGACCAGCCTGACCGTTCCCCTGCAGCTGGGGTCCTCCCTGTTTCTGCTGTGGGGCCTTCCCAGGGCCAGGAACAGGGCCTGACCCAGGATGCTGAGGGCCTGCTTTCTGTTTGTCCACCTCCCCATTGTCTCCAAAAAGACCTCCTCTGACAGCAGAGGAGACAGAGCTGAGGGGCTTTGCCCCGCTTAGAAAGTTAGAGAACATGGCGGGGTCCTCCTCTTCGTCCTCCTCTTCCTCGCTGGAGTCTACAGAGCTATCAAAGCAGGAGCTGTCCTCTCCCTTCTCTCCTGCAGGGGCTTGGAGAGGAACTGGGGCTGAGGCGAGGGCATCTACTGCCCCACTACTGCTGTCGCTGCTACTACTGCTGCTGCCTGGGCTCACTTCTGGTTCAGCTTCTACACCAGACTTCCTACAGAGACAAGAGTGAGGGCGACAGAAAGAGAGAGGGAAGGGGGGAGGGAGAGAAAGCGGCGTGTGAGAGAGGGAAACACACACAACTACACACACCTATAGAACACACACACACATATATGGGACTAAAAATCAGCTCCACAGGGAACTTCAACCTGGCCGTGAATGAACTGAAAGACAAACCAAAGAAGGCTTTCTATGCCATTAAAATATCTATCATATTAGGCACACCAATTAGGATCTGGCTCAAAATATTCATATCAATAATAGAACCAATTGCACTATATGGCAGCGAAGTGTAGGGTCCGCTTACAAAACAAGAATTTGACAAATGGGACAAACACCCAATTGAAACCCTGCATGCGGAATTCTGTAAGAGCATTCTCAGAGTACAGAGAAAAACTCCAAACAACGCATGCAGAGCAGAATTAGGCCAATTCCCTCTTCTGATTAATATCCAAAAAAGAGCCACTACATTTTGTAATCATTGAAAAACAAGTGACCCCCCACTCCTACCATTACAAAGCCCTCATCTGCCAAGAGGTGACCATAGAGAAGTCCCCTCAGCCAGCTGGTCCTGAGGCTCAATTCACTAACCACTACCAACCCAACAAAGCCTCAGGTCAGCACATATCCAAATTATCACAAAGCAAAAATAAAATATATCACCTATTGGAAAGAAACCACAAAAAAATGCTATTTGGCTCTCAACAAACAGTACAAGGTGGCAGACTATCTGATGACTGTGACTGATAGAAAACTGAGGAAAACACTAACTATGTACAGACTCAGTGAGCACAGCCTGGCCATTGAGACCAGTCATCACAGGCAAACCTGGCTGCCCAGAGAGGACAGGCTGTGCTCATGCTGCCCCCAGGAAATGATAGAGACAGAGCTGCAAACCAAAATGCTGTGTTTTAGCAGCCAAATGTGTGGCCTTGTGCCACAACCTGTGGGACAGCCAGTAAGAAGTATAGTGTGATTATATATATTAGCCTATTCTTTATTATTATTTGTTGAAATTGCTGTTAATATGAGTATCACTATCATTATTAATGCTTAATTACAAACAGTCTTTTATATTACTATCTTTGACCATCGTCACTATATGTTTACTTTGACAATGTGTCTACTTTCCATGTCAATAAAGTATACTGAATTGAATTGAGAACGAGAGAGAGAGAGAAGGGGTAAGGGAGACAGAAAGTGTGGAAGGGAGGTAGGGTGAGGGAAAGAGAGCATTTACAATATTCTGATTAAACATGCTGCCCCAGGCAGGCTGAGGATGGTAAACAAATAACAACATCTCAGAATATATTGGAAAGTAATGAGAACATAGGTCTCATAATGCCATTAATGTCTCTGAGGTCTGTTTGTTATTCCTCCTCTGCACCCTGATACACCTCTCTCTACTGATGTTCTCACATCCTGCATAGAAAATACACATATTCATAAATTACTGCATGGCTATGGCAACAGATTGTCCATGCAACATGTAAACCTTTTCAGAAGAGAGAGAGAGAGAGAGAGAGAGAGAGAGAGAGAGAGAGAGAGAGAGAGAGAGAGAGAGAGAGAGAGAGAGAGAGAGAGAGAGAGAGAGAGAGAGAGAGAGAGAGAGATGTTTTGTCATGTGGCAGCAACATGCTGAATAGTGAGTACCCTACAACTTACATTTGGATATTAAAATTGGCAATATACTAACTAAAATACAATAAACAACAAATGTAGGCAATGAAAGATGTAAATAAAAACATAATGTAATATGACCCTTGTCTAGAATCTCGACAGTATATCTATGAGTTTCTTTGCAAACATGTTATCACAACATGTGGTGTCTTATAAACTCATATTTTAAATAATTATATAATGGATATTAATATACTTTCTGTGGCACACGGATGTAAATTAAAACCAAGTGACTGTCGACGGATATCTCAGCAGAAAACGATGATCATGTGCACATTAAATTGTTGTGTGCATTCAGCTGAGGCTTTAATTATTGCATCTCAGTTTGATTTACTCAGCATGGGCTGTTGTCAGCCTTTCGGCACCATGGACAGCAGCATAGATCCATCACGGTTTCACACTTCCTCATGCCAGAGAGATCCTTTTCAACCAGAAACACAATACAGGCCAAGGTCCTACACAGTCATGGGAGGCAGAGACTGCATAGCAAATTCAAGTTCTGAGGTTATAACCACATTCATATTTAGACAGGAATATAGCACGTTCCCCATATCCTTGTTGCAACTATAAAATGTGTGACCTCTGTAGCCCCATCAAATGGCGAATGAATGCTTTCACCCAACAGCCAGTATTACTGTAGAAATTAAATCCAAAATACGCTATGGTTTAGAGCAGAAACCCGAATAAACACACGCATACATACACAAACACAATCTGGCGCTCTCTGGAGAAACCGCAGGCACGTCCGGGCAGGAGACGGCAAATGATGCATGAGAACTAAACTCTCATATGGAAATAAATATTTATATACTTTGCCTAGATATCAGATTAAAACATGATAGTAACGACATGGCAGTCGCCAATGCGAGTATAAATAGGTACACTGGTGGTCTAACCTATTATTTATTTTCGTGTGTCATGTTCGTGCGTTGTCATTTAGGCTACTGTAGACCTACACATTTTTCAAACATATGTTCTTCACAATAATTGTCGAAGATCGAACTATCAAATGTCAGTATAGGGCTGTGTAGGAGCCCATCTCATCCGCGCCTGGTCGTGATTTAGCATCAGTCAGTCAGTCAGACAGACAGACAGGCTGTATTAGATTCTACTCTACTTGAGGATACACGATGCAATCAGCATAGTGGAGTAGGCTACCAGTAGGCTACCAGACCTTAAATATGACAGCTCTGAAACCACGGATCATCGCGGTAGTGAGATGGAGGAACCCCCTCGCTCAGCTGTTTTTCACTCGGTGAGCCCTTGCTTGTTCCGCAATGAGCCAAAGGACGCCAGGCTACAGAAGCTTCCGCAACGAGCCATCTGTAAACAATGTCTCGTTGCGGGACGAAGCAAGGTGCGTCCTTGACATTAGCCTACACATGCATTCGCCCCCATCTCGTAGCCTAGATATTGTAAAAAAAGAATAAAAGTGTTCGGAACCGCCATCATCCCTGTGGACAACATTAAGAAACCCCCTGCCATCAGAGGCATTCCCGAGGATAGTCCAGTCCAGCATCCTTCACCCTCCGCGGTCACAATGTCAAACAGATGTGTGTACAGCACACGGTTCTCTGAAAAACTACCTGTTGTGCTGGCTCTCTCGTGCCAGATGTCTCGCCCCATGTTGGCTCAGCCCTCCTTCAGTCGGCTTCTGCGGTCTGCCTGGCTGCGGAGGGATGGCGGGCACGGAGCAAAGCAAGTCTACAGCATCCACCGATTCCGCCTCCCTTCATGCGCATGCGCTGCCCTCTGACAGCCAGTTAATCACAATACATCACGCAGGAACATTTAAATTAAAGGCACAAGGTGATTTATCCCCGGCAGTCACACATTAAACGATAAAGACCCACACATTTATCGCATGCATACGCCATATGTTTGCATTTCTCATCAATAATGTTAATGTTTTAAATGTATGTAAATTGTAAACTATTTTGTCTGTAATGTATTTTTCCTTTTATGTTGGACACCAGTAAGACTAGCTGTCGCCATTGGCGTCGGCTAATGGGGATCGTAATAAATAAAATATTATTCAAATTGAAATGCATCATTATTATCTCGTTCATTGGTTGGCCGTTTGGTCAGGCAGATAATGATTTTATAAAATGCTTGGACTCTTATATCAGACCTTTGAAACCTAGACCGAGTAGTTTGTGTTTATGATTCTGAATTGATGTTTGTGCCCAGTGGGTTATTTCCAATAGGTGCAGGATTTTATTGAATACATGTGCAAATAATAATCATTGACTACTGCATCCATGCGCTCAAAACCAAAGAAGAAAAAATGATAAATCATATATTTTACAAAAAATATACTTTGGCTTAGTGTCACTTTGCACTTCACTTGTAGCAAAACAATTTTGGGCTTAAACTTTAAATTAATTTACGTTCCATACAGGAGTCTGTTCTCCAACTGATTTCAATAACCTCTGTCTCAGGAAGCCCATGCTAGTGAAATATACTGTCCCCATATATGGTGGCATCAGGTAACTGAGTATGTTATCCCCACTTTTCTCTTACTTTATTTACCATGTTGTTGGAACAAAACGACTCAATACATGAATGTTTGCCTGACAAATGACAACTGGTAGGCCTACTTATCAGGAAAAGAAAACATGACAAACAGTATAATAAGAATGACAAATTCTCTAAAAAAAGTAAACACCCCCATCACCGTAGTGACAATGGATATGCTCATTCCCAAACTATTAACTGCGCTGCCCTGGGCGCAAGCACAACTAGTAGGCAACCCCTATAGATCAATGAAGTGATAGGTAAGAAAAGCATCCAGCCTGCCAGAAATCAACAAGGAGAA